AAGTTGGTGAGTCTAACCTACAGCTGTACTTGGCGACACTAGCGCCTTCTAGTGCCACTAGAGCAGCACCTTCGAGCTTTGTCCCCGGTTTTGATGGAGAGTTGCAAGGCCCTGAAGTCTTTCAAACGTGTCGTTTAAACGACTCGCAGAGGGGGATGGTGTAACCCAAGAGGGGTGGAGGGGAAGCATAGACGGAGCTGACGTGGTGGGCTGCTACCCTCTTTTCCGTTCAGTCTTTTGTCCAATTTCGCGTTGTGTACGTCCCTCATTATTTCGTAGTAGCCGATCAAATTTGACTTTGTGACACTTGAATGTGTGGGGTGGTAATATGAACTACGTCGTAAGGAATATACCAGAATGTGATTAACTTTTGCCAGAGATTTATCGATTATTTAAGGTTTCCATTGGGGTAGGTTTTGATGTGCGTGAAGAGGTTGCTCCGAAAAAAAACATGATTGCGACGCATTTTAAGTGCTCAGAGAGTGAACATCGAGTGAAGTGAGTTATAAAGTGTGTATTATTACTCGCGCAACTTTTCTTGAACGATGGATTGAAAAATACGGGTAGAGTGGGGATATTAGTTACGAATCAGCCACTAGATTTTTTGAAGCAATGCCAATCTCTGGAAAATCAGTCATGTCTTCGCAACTTTCTCAATAATTTGCGTCTTAATTTTCTCAGGAGTTCGAGGTATTTCCCGTGATGAATCTTCACCTGCTTTGGTCATTTATTAAATTTTTTTTGGAGAAAATCACGGACAGAAGTTCTCGTCGTCAACGGAAAATAGTTTATATTGCGCACCAGTGAAGATGTGTTTGGAATGTTGTCATCAGTGCTCGCTGCGAGAGTACTGACAGAATCAACTGTTTATTGTGTCAGAGAGAGGGAAGCAAGGTCATCTTTCAAGAAAAGTTGCGCGAGTTATAGTCGTTTTGAGATTGGGCGCTGAAATTTTGAAGCGCTTGAGTAGTACGTAGCTTGAGTGGTTCATAAGACACTGGCAAAACGTGTGATGATGAAAGACAGGCCTCTCTTTGGTCATAAGGGATTACAAATTTTGACTGTCATAACAGCACCCGGGAGGTAAGTTGTAGCCTTTATGACTTGTGCGCGTTGTGTAGTTTGCTATCGCGTCTCTCTTTTGCCCATGCTCTAGTGTCAAATCTCTGACAACAAAATTGGTGTCTTGTAGCTTAAACTGCCCCCATTCACAAATCGATTTCGACGCTTCGAGATCGAACTGAAACGAAAGACGGGTTCCCTCGGGAACGAGAGCATTCTTTAAATGAGCGTGTACAATGATCAATCTCATAAAAATCATTGAATTATTTTTTCCACAATATTTCGGGGAGATGCCGTTAATCAATCCTCAGGTACTCTGCTCATGTGAGGAATTGACATATATCGAACACACGCAGTTATTTATTCCGTCTAGTCGTCGATAAAAACGGTATGTATTAGAACCCGTATATGGCATATGCATGTAGACCGTAATGTTATGACTAATAGTTCTACCAGGGCAAGCTATATAATAGGTTGTATATGCTCTAACACCTAGGTTTTATTCCTACTCACGACCTCTAAGTTTTTCTTTTAAACATTTTCTTATGAAAATATTGTTACGTAAAATTCATAAAATAATAATGAAACAGAATAATGAATGTAGCAAATAAATAGAGAATAAATTGTTGTAATATTCAAATTGTGAAATAAGGAAAATATCATTTTTTTAAATTTAAAAGGCATTTAATTAGATGAGGGCTGCGTACGCAACCAGTGGTTTGATACAAGTAGGCTTGACCTACGGAGGATCAGAAATTTAATTTATTTACAGTTTTTACTTATTGTATTTAGCTCGCAATTCTGTAACTACTTCTACTACATTCACTATTTAAAACAAAGGAAAGTATACAGTAACATATACAAAAATACTGGAACTTTTAACCCGTATATGTTAAAACTTCAACGATAATTTGATTTAGCGGTTTCAATCTTTTGCCAGAAAAGTCCAAGGATATTTATGAAGAATAAATGATATTGGATGATTATGGATAAATGAAAATAGTCGTTGTAATTAACGAAGATATAATTTTTGCATCGTCTGTTAAAGGAGGTTTATTTAGATCTATACCGTTCTTAAATTTTTCTATTAGAATTGTAAATATTGTAAGTAAAATCTGTTCTTAAAGATCAGGAACGGTACAATCATCGTCCGTATGGTCAACATTTGCAATGCTGAAAACTACTTTAATCATAAAAGAAAAAAGTAGTATTTTTGCTAAGGTAAAGAGGTAATTTAAAAGATAAGTCTGTTGATTTTGAATGTCTTTTGATCTGGAACAATCAGAGCTGTCCCCATTCTCGGCGTTTCAGTTAATAATACAAACTGTATTTTTAATGTAAATATGCAAAATTAAGTTTTAGAAATTGCAAAACTTACTTCTTTAGAATTGGTTTTGAATTGAATGTTTCAATAAAATGCTTTCTATTTGTTACATTATATTAGTATTACATGCTTGCTTTTTCGGCTTAAGAGAAATATCTCAACTTATGTTGTAGAAGTGAGGTTTTACGAACTATAAATCACCCGTAAAAATCCATCTTAAGAGGAGAGGATGGGAGGTCATTAGTACTGAATGCAACATTGTGTACTACACCAGCTCATAATAAAAGAATAAAAGGTGCATAGAATAAGACATAAGAAGCGAATTCGTTCTCGAGATCACGAAATCACTCTCGATGTTTCCTGGTAGTGAGATGATTGCTCGCGGAGTACACTACATGGCATAAGAGTCCAAAAATGGTTTTGTTCACCCGCACAACTGTCTTTCACCTTGTGCTACATCTGAGCTGAAAGAGTTTCAAACATCTTTTATTCAGACCTGTTTGATATATTGCTCTATATTAGCATTCATGTCCAACATTAACGATCGTAATACAGACGGGGGTATGCACAAGAAATTCCAACTCTGCTGTTAGTTCCCAGTATTGTGTTGCGTAATCGATATCAGGCAGAAAGAAGTTGCTAAATGCAATTTTGATTTCTAGTAATTTGTTTTGACAATTCATATTGAAAATATATTAGGATTTAAAATTGTGAAGGCGGAGACAATTTACTGACATAATTTAATTCATTGAGAATAATGCACATGGTCAGGAGAGACTGTGCGCGAGTTGATTAAAAAGCCAAAATAAGTGAAAGTGGAAATGTGTGAAACGTCAACTTTTAAACTATCTTTCAATTGATATTAATTTATTTAATTTTCGGCTCTTTATCCTCTGCCCTGTCATGGAAAACTAGGCTAGTGAAGAGAAGACCTAACCCAGAAAATGAAGTTTTTTAAGCCAATACTTCCAGGGGCCAGTTGGCGGTGAGTGGACTAGACTTCTTCGTCCGAGGTGGCGGCTAGGCTCCGCACTGGAAACTTTCACTGTTCACGAAAACCAACCTCGAGTCTTTGCAAGTCTTATTTTCCTATGCCAATATATCTTGCCAAAATTGTATGAAAAAGTCTCGTTCTTCAATCTCGTGGCGTGCAGAGTAGATTCATTTGGGAGAGAAATATTAAATAAGCCTTTTAATCCATTATTATTTTTGATCGCGATGTATTCTCTACCGTTTCGAAAGAATGGCTACAAGAATGGATTTTTCACATTGGTGTATCTCTTCTAAGTAGACAATGCGAAAATCAATTTTTAACTCTGGTATGTTATTATATCACAATTTGTTTTAAAACGTGTTCATTTCTGGGAGTGCGGTTCAGCGTTGCTTCGCGGACAGCAACGAACTCGAAATCATACATTTTCTTCAATAAATTTGCAGTTGGTCTTTTGTAACAGATACTTCACTTACCTGACCCACGTTGCTGTTAAAATATATATGATGTTTGGGAGAACTATAGAGTAAAGAAGTAAAGAGAAGTAAAGAGTATTTCTGTTGAATGTGCTTCGAACTGCGAAACTCGAATTTAACCCCTTGTTAAGAAACTAGGCGCCGTAAGCCCGGTGTTTCTGAAATATATAGTATTTTTAAAATCATTGGGCAGAAACGGTTAATGATAATATTTATTATAACAAATATTTTATTTAATTTTCCTTTTGATAGTCATCGTAGTCTATTTGTACAGCAAGAGTTATTAGATTTATTAATAATTCTGCAATTAAGTGTGAATTCAGAAGAAAATATGTTACTTGCACTGAAGTTGGTGACAGATTTCAATTGTTCAATGTCACATGGCATTATGCTCAATTGGGGAGTTGCGAGGCCCTGGTGAGCAGTGGGAAACACGGTGCAGCGGCGGCACGATTTTCGTGCGCGGGGTCGCTCCCATGGGCACTGCCTCCGCCCTCCGACATAACGCTGCGTCTCTTTTTGAATTGAATTGAATTAATGCCTTATTTTACGTGGCGAGACTCGGGCCATCAGGCCCGCTCTTCCGTCTGACCACGCAAATTTCGCTACGCTTTAGAGGTTGTAAAGCAATAATTCCAAAAAAAAATAACCATCATTGTTAACAATTACAACTCGAGTGATACGAAAGAACTTAACTAAGACGGCGAGATAACCGAAACCAAACTCGTTTTATTTAGTCAGAAAGTGAAAAGGAAGAAATTGCTGTATTTGGCTCTTAATTTAAAGACAGAAAATTATACGAGTATAAATGCTTTATATCAGTGTTACACGTGATACATTATAACAGCAACGTTTCGGAAATCAATCATTTTCATCATCAGGCATAATGCCAAAAACAAATTTTGTAAATACTCGTCAAATTTTCTGTCTTTAAATTAAGGGCCAAATACAGTTTGACTAATTTGAAAATAACCATAGAAAGGAAACGTAAATAATAATCGGAAAAGTAATGAATCTTTCACGGCAGATTGCTCGGGGTCTCAGAGACTTCATTTCTGCAAATGTGGTGGCCTGCATTTGTCTGCACCACAGGGTTAATGGGTCAGTGAACGGGAAACTGGGATACTCTCGCCTTGTAATTACGTACCTTGTTGAGCGCCAGCGCCCCGTTGAGGCCGTTGCCGGCGTCGCCCGCGCCCTCGGCCTTGGAGTGGCACATCGCGCCGTTGAGGGCCGCTCCATTGAGGCCGTTCGCCACCTTCCCGTTCTCCGCAGGGTCGCTCGTCACCGAGACGGGACCGTTTCTCGTCTTCCTGTACGCTAACGACCCGTTCGCCGGTGATTTGTTCTTTGGCGACCGGTTCACTGGTGACCCGTTCGTCGGTGACTCGTTCGCCGGTGACTCGTTCTTTGGCGACCCGTTCACTGGTGACCTGCTCACCAACTGCCCCGCTTTGTGTGCTTCGCCCTGAGTGGATGACAAATGAGTGCCCGTCTCGTCTCCTTCGACGGTAGGCTCCAATCTTTCTGTTGGGTCCTGGAGGCCGCCATGATTCACCGCCTCGGTTCGCGTTGCATTATCCTCTGCGACGGCGTCTGCGGGAGCGGCGGGCAACGCACTGCTGTCGTTCTTCTCATCGACACCGGAGGGCTCCGCGATTTGCGGTGTTGTGTCCACATCCCGTTCGACCCTTCGGACATGACGAGGCGCCGTCGTGTTTTCAGTGTCAACAAAGCCCGGGTTATCGCTCGCCATGGCTGCCGCGGAGCTGTTTGCGTTTTTGAGGGCTGAGGACGCAGCAGCAGCAGCAGCAGCAGCAGCAGCAGCAGCAGCAGCAGCAGCAGCAGCGGGCCTCGCGGCGCTCTGGAACAAAAGAAAACGCGTGGTGTTTTACTAAGGGTTTACCGCTGGCGTGGGATGTGTTTCGTTTGTCGCCTAAACGAATTTTGTGGCTTAGAAACCACACTTACATATCTGAAGTGCCACTGGCACCATTTGAAGTGCAATTCTAAATGATAATGGTGAAGGTGACGAAATGGGATATTTGTAATGTAAAAATATATCATGTACACAATGTATAATATAACTGAGAAAGTGATATTGTGTCAGTAGCGCACTTCGGTGGACTCGAAGTTGTCTTACTGACCTATCAATCCCTAGATCGCGGGCTGAATTCCCACTATGGTACATGAAGTTTCGAAAATACACAGTGGCCACGTCTATCTTGGGGCGATTAAAAAAAATCACATGGCTAAAAAAAATCACTTCAGTTCCTGCCATATTTTAGACTTAGACCCTGAGGTCCGCTTTTCGTTTGACCACGTCAATTTCACGACTCCCCTTTCACCGTCTAGCGAAGAAAGACGGTGTCACTCTGGCAGCGAAATAAGCGATTTGAATTTAGCTCAGGGGTTTCCTGTAGACTTGGGGAGCTTTTAGATTCAATAGATGTACTACATGGGACAGGCGGCTTTACTTCCCCTATAGAAGAAGACACATAACTTGCTAAAATGAAATCCCCCGGAAAATCCCTTCCTCTGATTAAGACCCCAAATTTGCATAGTTGGGAGCGCCTCAAGCAATAGATCAATATTACTCACACCTTTGTTGCACTCTCTGGTGGCAAACAGAACAGTCGATCTCTGACCGTCAGTGCTCAGAGCCTATTGGGTACCACATAGAAAATTCTCACAAAGTTAACACACCTGTCGAATGTGGGCCGTTGGATAAATCTTGTAAGTGCTCGCGTATTATAGACAAAAATAATGTAGTGTTAGTAGCAAGAAACATCGAATAACAATCCCAGTTTCGTGATAAATGTAGGAGGAATGCCCTCCACACACATTCTGTTTCGTGAAAGCACCGTGAGGTTGGTGCGGTAAGCGAGGTGTGTGGTGGTGTGATATAATATCGGTACACGTTCTCTCTACGTACACTTTCATAACTAACTTGTAGACTCACCACTAAACACTCAATAAACCATCGAAATGTCCGCGAATTGTGGTAAAGAATCAAAACTGTGATGGCCTCGTGCCAAGAACAGTTTAATCCGAAAACTCGCGTGAGTGTCTGCTTGTTGTCGACTCACTTTCGACCCTGAACTCCCCGAACGGAATGCGTAAGTCCGAGCTGAGCTGCGTATCGCAAGGCGGCGAGTCGCTGTGTGAATGGAGGTCGCTGCCGCTGACCGCAGCGGCCGAGGTTCCCTTTGGCCCCGGGATGAAACGTCGGCCCCTCCTTTCCCCAGCTCTGCTTCTGCTCTCTCCCGCCCTACGTACCAGCCATCACCCGTGCACTAGAATTATCTTTAATGCTCTCAAGCGGTGAAGGTTCACTGCCTTTGATATGCATTGTATGCAATAGTAAGTTCAACAGAAATGAGCTGTAATTACATTCGGATCTTCACAGGTTGGAGCGCAAATAATTTTGCAATTTTGCTAGCATCGTTTTCAAAGATTGCGATAGTGGTGGACTACGCCCGAGAAATTGGCGGCCACTGTTGGCAGCAGGCAAGCACTCTCGAGCTGTTGTGGTAGGGCGAAAAGAGGCGATGGCAATAATGCCTGGTTGTGATTGTTGAGAACCAATCCAATAGTTTTAGATTTTAGATTTATTCAGTCAAATACAAAAAGAAAAAAAAGTGAAAAATGTATGGGACGTAGGGGGGAAAAGATTAGCTAGAGAGACAGCTGCGTTGCGATACTTGGGTCACCTGACTCTCATTATCTCCTTATACCGTGAACTTTTCCGAGTTATAAAATATTTGTATATACTAGCTCTTATTTACCATTAAAGATTTACCGCTATTGAAGTCATATAAAAAAATATAAAATGAGTAGAAATGGAATCGATAATATTAAAGAATGTGCATTGCAGATTAATTTTAATATTATTTATTGGCATTTTAATTTATTTATAAAAAATTAAAATACCCGTTAAAAGTACCCTTAATCCTATAAGCCTAATGTCCGTCTAAACTTTGAATGTCACCAGACTGTTGCTAATTATACAGTTCGCTATTCCGAAAATCCCAACCTCTGCTCTAATATATCGCGTCGCGACGTTGCCACACTAGGCTTCGGATGAAACTTCTATTCGTGACAACTATTTCCTTAAAATTAACAATTTATAATTCCCACTACAGAAATAACCTCATTTAAACCCACGAACACGAAGTCTAAATATTTTTAACTGCAAAATTCATTCACGACAACAAATGTAACTATCATTAAAACAATGCAAACATTTACCTACCTAAAACTTAAATAAACAATACTGCTTAGCCTACCTCTTTTAGATTAACAAAATAAAACACAACAAACCACAACATAAATCTATTATCGCAAAATTACGACAATGCAATTCTCATCTAGCATCCAGCACGGCGCCTAAATGATTAGAGTTCGTTGCTATGCGTTCGATGCATCTAAAAAAGGGATCTTATAATGTCATAAAATATGACATCTGTACCCTCTATGGAATCAATAATAATATAAATAGTTTTCGCATTTATATAACGGGGATGTTCTTTTTAATTTTTCTACCTTCATGAATAATTTTTGTCGAAAAGAAAAGTTTGCAAAGACATTTGTTTCATATTTTTTTGTTACCTTTCTGTGCGCAGATGGGTAAATTTAAAAGAATATTATCTCCTAAAAAAACATTGTTGGCATTGTACGAATGTACTCGAATCATACGAATTATACTCGTATAACAAGTTAATGTCATCACTGCCAACGTTTACATATAATTCGCAGTTTGCGATCGAGCATCCGTGGTCTTCAGAGCACTTGTACAGGAGACGTTGATTTGAAGTTCATTTCTTTACTTTCAGATTTCCGTTGTGGGAGAAGTAAGCCGCTCTTGGCAGGAATAACTGAATGAACGGGCATTTATTTACTTTATCCATCGTTTTATTCCATCTTCATCCACTATATTCCTCGCACATCTCAATGAAGCTGTTGCAAATGGTCTACAACAAAACAGAGCGGGTTCGGTACATCTCAACTAATCCAAACCGCCAGGTCGGTGCTGTTGGTTGATTAATAAAGGGCCGTCAATCCCCTCGCAGGTGTCAGCGTTGACGGGGTATTCAGAGGCCTCCCGGCGGAGCGAGGCGCGGTGGGAGCAGGTCATCTGCCTGTAATGTGATTGTGCTGTAGTGGCTCGTTATGGACTGCCTTCATTCATCAGTCCCCTGCGCCTTCCCCTCCCTCCTTCCGCTTGTCAACCCCCGCCCCCCCCCCTCTCCGCTCGCTTCTCCATACATCGTCGCCGGCGTTGCAAACACACCGCCCAACTGACGCCCTCATCCCCAACCCTAATGGGAGACACCTGTGACGACCGGGCACGCGAGCTCCCGCCAGACACTTCTCCGTCTATTCCCTCTCCTATTCCGGGCAGCGGGGGTGGCGATAAGCTTTACGATTGCCCATATGTTTGCCATAATGATAAACATAATAATTGTAACAATAGGAAAACTGTTATTTACTACGATGCAGCAGATGCATGTTTCTTCCTCTTTTTCCCTTTTCTCCCTTTCTCACACTCCCTCTCTCTCTCTCTCTCTCTCTCTCTCTGTATCCCTTTTCTCCCTCCTTCCATCTCTCTACCTTTTCTCTTTACCTCCCTTTCGCGCTCCCTATTTCCTTCCTCGCTCCCTATTTCTTTTCTCGCTCCCTATTTCTTTTCTCGCTCCCTATTTCTTTTCTCGCTCCCTATTTTCTCCATTTTCTCTCTCCATTTTCTTTCTCTCTCTTCTCTTTTTATTCTCTCCTTTTTCTTCTCCTCTTTTGCTTCTATATCCCTTCTCTTCTCTCTTCCTTTTCTTCTTCTTTCTCCCTTTTCTTCTTGCCCTCTCTCTTTTATTCCCCCTCTCTTACTCCCTTTTATCTCCCTCTCTCTCCCTTTTATCTCTCTTTTATCTCCCTCTCTCTCCCTTTTTATTCCTGTTTCTCACAAGTATAATAGAGCCAACTCCTTTTATGTGTGTGATTAGATCACTTATAGCAAGGGAAATGAGCAAAAGACCATGCAGTCCGCGCACACTTGGCGATTGAAATCCTTGGCACGTGGCGTTTAACACTCGCTGGCTGCAAAGCTTGGTTGTAGCTTGTGGAAACGCCTCCGACGAGATACGGAGCGATTGCTGCCGGCCGCCCCCGCTCGCTGTGACCCGCGCGCGCCTTTTCGCAAGGCCTCTCCGGCGGGGGCGGGGACGGCTGTTGACCCCCTTCGCGCAGACGCCGCGCCGGCGGGGGGCGGGGGGGGGCGCAGACGCGCTTTGCATGCGGGAGAAACGCTAAGAGAGAGAAGACAGAACGACTAGAGAAGAGAAGAGAACGCTTAGAGAAGAGAGAAGAACGCTACAGAAGAGAGAGAGAGAATCGCAGAGAGAGAGGAGAAGAGAACGCTACGCAGAAGAGACGAGAACGCTAGAGAGAAGGAGAGAACGCGTAGAGAGAGAGAGAGAGAAGGAACGCTAGACGAGAGAGAGAGAGAACGCTAGGAGAGAGAAGAGAGAAGAACGCGTAGAGAGAGAAGAGAGAGAAAACGCTAGGAGAAGAGAGAGAGAAACTTAGGAGGAGAGAGAGAGAAGAAAACGCTAGGGAGAGAGAGAGAGAAAAGAAAACGCAGGAGAGAGAGGAGAGAAAAACGCTAGGAGAGAGACTGAGAACCTAGAGAGAGAGAGAACGCTAGGAGAGAACGAGAAACGCTTAGGAGAGAGAGAGAACGCGGGAGAGAAGGAGAACGCTTAGGGAGAGAGAGAGAACGCTAGGGAAGGAACAGAGAACGCTAGGAGAGAGAGGTAAGAACGTAGGAGAGAGAGAAGAACGCTAGGAGAGAGAGAGAACGCTAGAGAA